GTGCATTGAGCCAATACCAATGCCCAGGAAAAGAGCCCGCATTTTGGCGGGATTGTGCACGGGTGGAGGTGCTTCCGAAAACTTGATGCTCAGCCTCCGCCTCCCACTTTCAGCCTTCCAGCATCCGTTCCTTGCCTTGTCTTCTTCATGTCAGCTCACGGCCAAGATGCTTGAAGGTGTGTGAAGACTTGCATTTGCCGGGTATCAGCACAGACTGATTACAACAAGCAAGCCCCAAGCAAACCAGATCCATGCACTATTCTTGCTGCGGCAGGACCAGGACGTGGCTGGATTGAAGCGCACCAACGCGGGCCAGTGCATTCAACACTATTGGCAAACAAACGACAAACGGTGGGTTCCGCAGTCGCAATTGAGACACAAACAGCTTGTACTTGCAAGTCGGACTGGGCTGTCGCTTCCGGGGGGGGGGAGCTTGCTGCGATCCTCCCGGGGCTAGCAAAAGTACCCGACAGTTACTGTTCAGCTTGCCTTGAGCTGTCAGGGTGCCGGCTGTCAGAGGTTGGCCGAAGCTCATGTAAAGCCAACTGGGCTTCGGCTTTGCTCTTGGAAGGCAAGAGCGGACCTGTGGGTGGTCTGCAAAAAGGACAAAGGAGCAGCGCTCAAAACCGATTCCCATTGCCAATTTCAGTAGATAGTGTCACTACCTGGCTTCTTGGGGTTTGTAGCAAGGCCTGTAGAAACCTTTAGAACCATGTTGGTAGAACTAAGGAAATGAGTTTTGGGCGCTCAAGAGTTCGCGGCTTGAGACCCGAGTTATTTGGGATGTGAGTGGGGTTCCTGGGTTGCATTTCCGCGTCTCAGCCGTTTGCTTCAGCCTGAGCCTTTCGCTCCCGTGTTTTTTTTCACCAGGAGGTGCGCGCTTTGGCTTCCGTACGCGCGCAAGCCCCACGCGCGCGCGCGCGCGCACGGCCAGGTGATGCTGAAATGGGGCGGAGACTATTCGCTTCCTCGGCTGCGCGCGCGCTGCTCAGGCGTTGGGCGGCTTTCCATGAGGTTTCGAGGCTTGACGATGTGATGGCAATGATGGGAGTGGCGGCGATGACGTTCGCATGCTGAGGCGAAACTTGCCACCACCGGAGCCGGCACCGAGCATGCGGAACCAGATTATGCAGAAGTGTATCGCCCCGTTGCGACCTTGGTCCAGCGCTGGCTTTTCCTTGGCCCGCTAATGTCCTTCCCAAGGACTTGGGACAAAGCACAATCTTGCGCAAGGACAGGTCGACCAGTATGGGCAGAACATAATTGCCTGCCAATCTGCCAACTTCAGCCAGGAATCGCCTGAATTTTTCGCAGCTGTTGCCGAGAATGGCTGGCTCCGCAGAGGGGCAGCTTGCAGCTTGCGGCAAGCACATGGTGACCGAGGTGGCTTTGAGGCTTTCGCCCGCAGCAGCGGATACCGTGGCTTGAACAAGGCGCTCAGAAGCAGTTCTGGTCGATGAACCCTTCAAGTGCGAATAGAGGGAACTGGGGCATCCAATGCCCCGGCTGCAGGATCAGCACAATGCGCAAGCTTGCCGTAGTTTGCATGCGCTAGGGCTTGTCTAGATCGTCCCTGTGGAAGACCGGAAGCACGACAGCTCCGAAGTTGGGGCTTCAGATGGCCATGGGTCAAAATCCCGTACCCCCAGTGAACATCCCAATCCCCACTAAAATAGACTAAAATGGGTGGTGCACCTAGCCCAAAATGGTACCATTGGTTTTGACGCACAGCCAATCAGCTGTCAAGTCATTGACAGGCAATTGTATTGCCCTGCCACAGACTTGTGAGGTCCAGCCAGACTTTCGGGCAGACGACCATGAGCCAGACGACGCAGATGGGGCTGAATCAGACGATGCCGGCAGCCCAGGTTGATCTCGAGCCAGGTTATTCCCTACTACGCACCATCAAGCTATCCAGGGATTGCTTGGCGAAGCACGGGCCTAACCACCTCAAGCCTTTGCTGACCCCAGTTCTCGATGCTGTTGTGTAAGATGTAAATATTGGATATTGACTTTGGTTTCTATTGCGTGATTCTACCCCAGCTACATCATTTTTATGGCTCACCTGCAGAAACGTGAGGTAACTGGCATGTACTACGCGCACCATGTCATTTCCTTCCTCTCTCTTTCTCTCACCGTTGTCACTGTGTGTGTGTGTGTGTTTTACCTCTGTGCGCGGTCGTGCGATCTCCCTTTCACATCCTTCGATGGTCCACCAGAAAGAAAAGAACACAAACTGCAAGGGAAACTTGTTGATGCATGCACAGCTACTTTCATTCATCTACACGAGCCGGGGCAAATAATTTTTGCGCGCAGGTTGCGAACTCGGTCCGTGCCCACCCTGGGCTCCCGCACCGTGCCTGCCCCAGGAAGGCCCAGGAAGGCCCAGGAAGGCCCAGGAAGGCCCAGGAAGGCCCAGGAAGCCCAGGAAGGCCCAGGGTGCCCGGTATGCCCGGGCCTTCGCTTAGCAAGTTTCCAGTGAAAGCTGCAAGGGCTTTGTGAAACACCCTGGAGCTTTGTTGTCTTGCAGGGAATCTTGCTTAAGGAGTGACTCCCGGCAGGATGGATGCTCATGTTATCATTCAGAAGGTTGGAAGGCTTTGCGGTTTGCTGGAATATGACTAAGCTCGGAGTGGCTGCGCAAGTTTGACTGTTGCCACCTGGGGCTTCAGGTGGAAAGGGCACCTGCCCATTCACAACCGCTGCTTCCTCAGTTTTGGCTGCTGCACGGGTGTGCTCAGGGTGGTAATGACGCACCAAGGTTTCCCCCAACCTGGCATGTGAGCTCCACGTCAAGCTTGCCTGGCATTGTAGCTGCCAAGTCCTGTTCTAAGTGCGCGATGTCATCGCGACTGTGTAGAAGGGAGAGGCAGCGTGAATGCTAAGGCAAGCCCTGACGACTGCTGCCCACATCTCAAAGCCGTCCGGTATGCTTGAGCCGTTCGCCAACAAAACCAAGGGGCCACCGGTGGATGACCCCAAAGAGAAGCAGGCTGGATGAACATGTTAGCGGACCAATGCAGAGCGCGCTTGCAAGGCAGAAGTAGCAAGCAAGAAGTTGTGGACCGCCATCCACGGTAGCGAGTACCTGGTCCAGGATTGTTGCTTTTGCGGTGGGATTGCGATGGAATGGCTGGCTGTGTTGGGCAGATGCTTTGTGATGCCGCAGGAAGAAGTCGCCGCGCTTCAGAAAGAAGGGCAGCCGAACAATCAGGCTGGTTGGTGAGGTGCATGGCTCACTCCGGAGTTCAGGGACTTGATACTTTTTGGGAAGACCATTTTGGTAAACAAAGAGCTTGGACCTTCTTGGGCTCATCCACTCAGGCAGTGAGCTCTGGGCTTCCCAAAGCAGCTGAGGCCTTCCTGGCCAAGCTGAACAAGTCCGACTCCAGATTCCCGGGCATCAAGAAGGCCCCGGCACGCCGGCACGCCCCACTTTTGCCCCACTTTTGAATGAGCGTGGTAGGTCCAGGGAAGCGACGGTGCCAAAATGACCATGGGTCACAAACCCATAGTGAACATCCCAATCCCCACTAAAATCGACTAAAATGGTTGGTGCACCTACCCCAAAATGTTTCGACCCACAGCCAAAGGACTATCGAGCAAGGTTTGAGAAATATGCATGGTGTTCCTGCGAATGACGCGTAGTGAAGGCGTTGAAAGCTGGTGCCAAAGTCGACTGGCGCAACCCAGAGACGCTCGTCGGCAGAAGTCTTGCCAGTGGGAGCTGTTGCAGCGTGCAGTAAGAGTTGAAGCGCACACACACACACACACAGGCACATGCTTGCATGCATGATCATGTGTGATGGCGTGGCTTGAAGAATGGGTGATGCATGGGGGTGGGTCAGTATTCCTGGCCCCAAAATATTCCATGGTAGCTTTTCCATGTGGAGTATAGCATTTTTTTGGTGGTTTTCTAGGCAATGGTCATCCCATGCTTTGAGAACCTTTTGATCAACCCCATGTTGCAAGGTGGGATGGAGCCACGCTGCTGATCCGCGCTGCCCGAACCGGATCGCTGGAGCTGGCAATGTGGCCGTGGCATGTCAGCTTTGATTCCGAGACTTAGATTCCGGGACACCCGGGGACCCTTCCCACTTCTCACTGGCTAGGAGTTGGTAGACCCAGGGGTTTAGCCCCAGAGTCAGCCCCAGACTGCCTTTCTGCCCGGAACAGGTTTTGCCTGTCCCAGTCGGCCAGCATCCAGGAGAGGGACAACTCCGGCAGGGGAGTCTGGCGCTCGGAGACGGAGCGAGACCCAGGAGCTTCCAGCGGAGCGTGCCAGGTGCTGCACTGGGCGGCCTTGTCTGGAAACAACTGCCTCATGTGCTGCGCCAAGAGCTCCCGGGTGGCGTACGATTTGGGTATGTGAACCGCAGGTTTGAGTCCTTGGACCAGTTTGCCAGGGTTGCATTTTGGCTACCTATTTTTCGGCCCACAGCCATTTGGGTGTCTTCTCTGAGGCTCGGTACCCTTTTCGTGTTGGTTTAAAGGGAAAGCAAAGGAAGCCAACCTCGCGGGTCCGCATCCCTTTGAGACAGACGCATTGGCAATTTTTGCCGTTCTGGAAGGCAGTACCTCCTCACTGAGTACTCGCTGGATGTGTCATCGCCAGATGGCTTGGCTCTCAAGCCTCTCATGTTGCAAGAGCTGGCTGGTGGCACGCCGGGTCTGCGAGATGTTGGTGGCACGCCTCGCCTTTTGCGCATTGCGCAAGCCCCAGGCAGCGGTGATAGCCCACTGCACCTTGGAGCCTACGCGGGCCATATAGGGGCTGGCTCCTCGCAGCTCACTGTGCGAAGCCATTCCTGGCATTGCCATTCCACTGACAGGGGTCCCGAGTTATTTCCCCTTTTGGTGGTTTTAAACACCACCTTTTTTGCCCATTTAAAGTGAGCTTCCCTTCATACAGGCGATTTGAGGGGAAATCTAGGGAGCCCTGGCTGGCTGCACTTCAAACACCTTTTGTCTCTGGCTTGACGCAGCCTGGGGCTCGCAAGGACCCTTGCAATGTCGGAGCCGAAGGGGAAGGGACTCTCCAAGGGGCCGCGCGGCCCGAAGGGAAAGGGCAAGGCCCCCGGGCCGCCGCCACGCCCGCCCAGCCGCCCCCCGGGAAAAGCTCCGGATGGCCCGAAGCTCCGGCCTTTGTTTTGGCAGACGGTTGGACAAGTGCCGACAGAGAGCGTTTGGAGCAGCCTGGGGCCACCTGTGCCCTTTGACACTTCCCTGCTGGAGAGGCGCTTTGCGATGGCAGAGGCGCGTGCTCCCCGCAAGGCCGTGGATGCCACCGGGGACGAGCCCAAGAAGAAGCTGAGAGTGCTGGACGATCGCACGTCCCAGTTGCTTGCGATCTCCTTCAACAAGCTCCCGCCTGCAGAACAGTTGGCACAGGTGGTGGACACCCTGGAAACTTTCCCAGATGGCTTGGCACCAGAAGCGGTCATGGCTCTGAATTCTGCCACTGTTGAGCAAAAGGATGCTGTCGAGCAGCTGAAGTCGCTTGATGTGCGTGAAGCAGACCTGATGCAACTAGATGTGCCTGAAAGATACTTGTGGGTCATGGCCAACAATTCAGTGTGCGCTGCCAAAATCGCGAGCGGGGCCCTCATTGTGGGCTTGGCTCCGGAACTGCCTGAGTTGTCGCTGGCATGCCAGCGAGTGCGGGACGGGTGCCGGAGGTTGCAAAGCTCGATCTTGGTGAAAAGATTCATCAGCACCTGCTTGGCAGTTGGGAATGTGATGAACAGAGGCACTGCTCGGGGCAGTGCTCGTGCCATAGTGCTCCCAGAAGGATTGCTGAAATTGGACGAGCTGCGGGGCAGTGGGGAGACTGAGGGTGTGTCCGGACTGTCTCTCCTCGACTTCGTGTCTGAGGCCATTCTAGTGGAAGCATCCTGCACTTCGGGCAAGGGCGTGCAGGCACAACTGCGTGCCGAGGCGGACGAGTTGCGCGAGGGCATGCGCGCAGCGCAGGGAGTTTGCCTGCACGACGCTGACACGAGCTGCCAACGGATTTGCCGCGCAGCATCGCACGCGCAATCCGGTCTCAGTCAGCACTTGGCCAATTTGTCCGTTGCCCGACTCGCAGCGACAGTCCAAAGTATATGCAAAGAGTCTGAGAAATGCTCCGCTCAGGTGGCTGAGGCAAAGGCCCAGCTCAAGAAGTCCATGGAATGGGCCAGTGCAAAGCCGAACACAAGCTCATCCGACTGGCTCGGCAGCTGGGTTCAATTTCTTGAGCAGCTTGCGGGCGCAATCGACCGAGTCAAGCTCCCAGAGCTGCCCATGCGACCAGTTCAAGCTGACTGCAATGGTGCGGCTTCTGGCAGGAGCGTCTTCCAAGACGTCAGCAATACGCCACAGATGTCGCATGAGGATGGAAAGCCGAAAGGACCCAGCCCGCAGGTTGCATCAAAGGTCCAGTCCGTCCAGTTGGATGATGATGAGAGGATTGAAGTTCTGCTAGCTCGCATGGCCCAAGGGGCTTCGACCCCAGCATGCACACCAGCTCCGAATCAGGATGCAGATGAGGTCCACAGATCAAGGCCTCAAGCAACTGGGCGTGAGGCTAGCAGGTCAAAGCTTCAAACTCGCGTGCCGATGCTCCATGCCGGCGGGTCGGCCTTTTGAAGGCAGAACAATTAGATAGCACGAGAATTAAAAGACGGCGGCAAGAGCCGCCGCCAGCTTGGGTTTGCAGAAGGTGCGGAAAGTGAGGGAAACATCCGAGCCCGGGCTTCGGCCGTCGGCCTGGCAGCACTCGGGCCGTCGAAAAAACGAAACGAGAACTGGGTCAACTTGCTGGGGGGTTCCTGAGGTCGTGAGGCTTCTGGTCCACGCCGGTGCCAAGGAGACGGCGAATGCCAATGGCTTCACGCCGCTGCAGTTGGCCGAGGCTGGCAGCTCTCGGCTGATCTGCAGTGAGTGGCCCATTTGCGGCGACGTGAGGAAGTTGGGGAGCCATTTTGCCACTGCTCGTCACATTCTTGGGTGGGCATAGCAACGGACACAGGGTGCGAGCTTCTTTCTGATGGCCACGGCACCTTTATTTCAAAATTGTCATTTGCCCAATGAGCACTGCAAATCACACATGGGGGGACGCACCTGCCCCATTTACTGCGGCAGACTATTTGGGAACTTGGCTTGTGGAAGGCTAAGCGCATGTGGCACGTGGTCCGCTACCTGCGGGAAAACAATAGTGACGAGTCCACCAAGGACCGTACAGCGGTGCAGCTTTGATATGCTTTGATTGGAAATGGGGAAGCTCGCTCCACCTGAATTTGACTCCCCTCGGTATTTTGGGGGGGCCTGTAGCAGTAGTTTGTGTGTACACTGCTTGCTTTGTCAGTTGGCACCGGGAGCAGTGGATGGAAATTGGAGAAGGTGCTGGGTGCCATGCCATTTCCAGAGTCCCCGTGATGCAGGACCGTCTGGGACATATCCTTCGGTACCTTAAGGAGAATAAGGAGGATGCAGAGAAGGACACAGTGTGCGAGACTGCGGGGCTTTTGTATGGCTCGTGCCGTCGCCAGGAAGAGGTTCCTCTCCGGGAGCTTGTCTGAGCCTAAGTGCGTGGGTGTCTGGCCTTGCTCGAGGCCTTGGGACAAGAGATGTCATTCTTTGGTAAAGTTGGCCTTTCTCAATTCGTGGCGAAAAATACACGTGCAGAGGGTCATCGGTTGCCAAGCCGCCTGTGATTTGCCAAGGCCTTCCGGTCTTGCAATCTTGCAAAGGCCAATTCGCTTCTTGCCATCAGCAGCGGACATCGCCTCAGCGTGATTGATGAGAGAGAGAGAGAGAGGCCGTATTCGTTGCTGCACTGCTGGCTTTGCGCTACCCTCTTGGCCAGCAATGGTGGCATGAGATGCCGCAACAGCTAATTGTTAAACTCAGGAGGTGCTCCAGTTGCCAGCGTTTACATGCAGTTGATGATCACCCAACGATTGTCTGCATCCATGTTATCTTGCTGCTGGGGATGAGCTTGTTGGAATGTGCTGATTTTGAAAAGGCCGAGGATTGCATGCAGATTTCAGATTCAAGCGGCAACGGAAGGAGACAATAGAACACACACGTAGACAGAGAAACCACGCAAGCGGGAGAGAGAGAGAGATAGAGAGATGCAACGATTCCTGAATTTTGCGTCAAATTCAGCATTCGCAGTACCCGCTTGGAGGGATGTGTTGTTCTTCCAAGGCTGACCTGCGCTGAGGAAGCAGCTTCGTGCCAGGGTGTGGTATATATCATATGCCAGCTCTCGAAACGTGTCTTAGTTTCACTCTGCCTCGCTGCCTTCAAAAGGCTAGCATGCACAAAGGTTCGCGTTTGGTTGCCCTCCCAGGGAGGGCCGTATCCGTTCACACACGTTTCTGCGAAGCAAAACGGGCAGGCCCTTCTCTGTTCTCTGTCTCGTGCAGGGCCATGCGCTGTAATAATCCGGCGGGGCTTGCGCTTAGCACCCAGGGCAAGCACATGAGTTAACAGAACAACTTAGCGGATCAATGGTTCCAAGATATCTACCAATGTGAGGATCGGTCAATACATCCAGTCCATGGTCAATTTGGAAGGAACATGGGGGATTTGGAAGGATGCTCTAAGTTTCCAACAAAAACCAGACGACTCTCTCCTCTACCCGTGTTCGTCGAGGGTATGTCAAATTTTGACACTGGCACACGTCGATCAGTCGATCAGATCGTGCTCCGGCCCGCTCATGGCGATTTGGGCTGCACGGCTGCATGGTCGATCAGGAGCTCGCAAGGGAATCATCCTGTTGGTTGATGTGTCCCGATTCCAGGACTTGCTTGGACTGCGGCGGGGCAAATGTAGGCACGGCCATGTGCGAGCTGTTCATGTTGCCAGGCGGCCTTAAAGCTCTTGAAGTATGCCCGGCCAGGAATCCAGATTGCGGTGGCTGCGAGGGCTTTCTGCGGCATGTGGGCTGCCATCCCAGCATCGAAGCAGCGGCTCTTTTTCAACAATTCGCTGCAGGGGGCATGCCCACAAGGCGCAAGACACCTGCGAGGCTGTCCGGCCGCCTCGGCCCAGATCTTCAGATGCGTGCCGCGCGCCTAGACCCTGGGGTCTGTGTGAGGGCTAGGGAACGCGCGGCGTCATGCGCTAGCCGATTTCCGGCTGCTCTTGGCAGGCCCTTAGCTTTGCAGCTGTCGCCAAAGTGTACTTGCAGTCTCAGTTTAGCCGATGTCCCACCCCGGCAAGTTACATCTTATGTGCCTGTGCTGAGCCCTTACTTATTGGACAGCCCTGATGCCCCAATTCTTCGGACAAGCCAATGTTCAATCTTGTCACCGGTTTCTGCGTTGTGGATGGTTCCTCGCACACTAGTCAGCAATGGGTTCCAGACTTTCTCCAGAAAGTCATGAGCAAAAGGCACGTGAAAGAAGCATTCTTTAACCCCAAGGGCTCAGAATCAATATTCAGATTGGTGTCGACCAGCTTGATTGCAACTATTGTAAGGCGTCCGCATGTTTTGTGTCAGCTGATGGCTGATCGCCTCCTATTCACCCAGTCTGGTTCTGGTGATACGCGGCCAGGCGTGCAGTTTGTGAGAGGTGTCCCCACTGGAGCAGTAGCGGTTCGTGATCTGTCAGATCTGGGGCCCAGACGGGGATGCGCTAACAAGTCCAATGGAAAAGTGGCAGCAAATAAGTGGCGAGGATGTTTTGTTTGAGGGCTTGAGGTATCCTCAGTGAGTTAGTTGGATGACCCTAGGCAGGCCAGAACGCAGATCTAGCTGCCTGCACGACACGCACACACTTGAGGCGATGCAACTGCTTCTCCAAGGACTTGTCGGGCGGAAGTGCGCGTTTTCTGGTCCATACCCCTCGGCTTGCCTGGCATCCACCCACTTTATAAAGGATATAGACCCCTTTTTCGGGGGGAGGGTCATGCACAGCCAGCCCCTGGGGTCATTTGGAAACGGTGTATGTAAAAGGGGTATGTACAAACACCCGGCAGCGCCGCCTTCCTCACGAGTCTTGTCATGATCCGGATGGTGTGCAGGACCACCTCCCTGTGGAGGGGCCTCAGGCAGAGGACCCGCTGCAGCGCCTGCCAGGTGGGGGGTTTCGCGACTCGCGCGGCTACGGTGCCGCGCCGGCTGGCCAAAGTCGCCAGCAGGCCGGGGCTTTCGAAGCTTCGAGCCGTCCCCCCTCCGAATCCACACCGTTCTGCCGGTAGCAGCTTTTCCCCCGTCCTCCACCGCAGGACCACCAGGAAACACGGCAGAAACCTTGTAACACTGCGGCTCAAAGAATGAAAGCACGTCCCAAGCATGGTTGTTTCGCAGAACCAGAGCCGTGCTCTCACGGAAGCCAAAGCTGCCATGCTACCCTGAGCTCTCGTCAGGCAGCGGGCTGGCCTGGCATTGGGGAAATGGTCTGGGTGCCACAGCAGGCGCCGCAATGCTTGCACGTGCTTTTTCGGTAATCGTGTTTTGACAAGGGTTCGCGCCATTGCAATCTTGCGCTGGTGGCGCAAACTTGGCGTAACAGCCGCAACGCATATTTTGGAACATGTTGGCATGACGGCATCTGATGTGAGGAAACGATCGATGCCTTGTGGTTGCAGTTTGGCAGAACCTTGCTTTCTGACGTGCACGGCAGTCAGGCATCAGTCCAGAAGCGTGCTGGCATTGTGGTCCAGACAGAGGCGCAGTATCCTCAGCATCCCCTTAGTGTGAGACTGGGCAGTTTGGCGTGGCACCTCCACGAGCTATTGCCCAGTGAGGTCTGAGACGAGCGCATTTTGCACAGTGCGCCTTGCAGACACCGCGGGGTCGAACTTCGCCGCCGTTAAGATGTTCAGGTGGAGCTTCTTGCTGCCCATGGCGTCGCTGAGGCGGATTCCGTGCGAAGAAGGATGTTCTGAATCGTGCCAGCCAGGCTGACAGGAGACAAGTGGTGGCAACGGAGTGCTTGACGGAGCGTGGCACACCAACCGCCCGAAACAACATTTGACATCGGCAGGAGTGGGCGCCTGCATGGTCACCCCCCAGAGTTCAAGGCACGTGTCCTGTTTAGTGCGGTGCTTCCAATTTGCCTGACAAAGGTGATTTCGACAAGGAGGCACACTTCAAGAACTTGGTGTTCCAGCCAGGGCCATGACCAGCCCAACAGTTGGAACAGTAGCTTGCGGGCATCAGGCAGTGAAGAAGTTGCTTGGTTGGTGCAAGGCTGTGAGGTGGCAATGCTTTCTCCCCAAGGCCAGGAGGATTATGGTGTCTGAAGCCGGTGCGCTCAGTTTAGTGCGGGGGGGGGGGGGAATGATGGCGCGAGCTAGGGGCAGATGCGACTGACTTGGCATTGCCAGGCTCTGAAACAGCGGCGGTGCAAGGTTTGCGTGCTGGGCGGCTCTATCTCCCTCCAAAGCCGAGGGTGCGACCCGGCGGAACTGAGCTGAAAGCCATGCAGTGCGCAGACGCTCGAGGTACCGCCCCCACTTTGTGCAGGCACTCGAGAGGCGAGGCGTGGCAGTGGAGGCCCTGCCGCATCTGCGGCTCGAAGTGTGCAACTGAATCGCGGCAAGCTGGGTTTCGCGCATGCCATGAGACAGGCGGTACTTGGTTTCTGCCCGCGTTTTGCATCTGAAGAGTGGCTCCAGGACTGTCCAGCAGCGGTTGGCACAGCTGGCAGCCGGCCGCCGGTGTCTCAGTTCCTTGCTGGCCTTGGGGTCTGGGCTGGAGACCGGAGAGGCTCTCGCTGGTGGTCAGCGATTTGGTGCTGACAAAGCGCCCTGACCTGCTCATCATCGAGGCGCCCATCCCTGGCTGAGGGCCATTTTGCTGACTCGCGCCGGCGCGAGTCCGCCAGCCGAGCGAGTCATGGCCGGGGGTCGCCAGTTCAGTGCCAGGTGGCGGTCAATGATGGGGATGACCTCCTGGAGAGCACGCCTCATCCCAACGCGAGCTTCTTAAGGAGATCAGCGCTGAAAAGTGAGCGCCGTTCATTGGAGCCAGCGTTTTTTTTTTGCAGGTACCCTTTTTGGGCGTGGTTTCGAGGGAAACCAACAAAAGAAGCCAAGCCACCCATTTGGGGGGACAAACTCGAATGTGAATCTGTCTGCTAGGTGGTGCCTATTCTTCAGGCAGCGGAGGGAATTGTCCGTACAGTGCGGCGCCGATGTCCTGGTGGAAACCTTAGAAGGGCAGACCCTTGGGATTTCATGGCCAGGTCATGGTCATGGCCAGGGCATGGAAACGCTGCATGTACTTGTTCATGTGTGTTTTTACCCATGATGATCTTTTCGTGCGACATTCTGGTGCTCGATGCTTAGCGGGGTGCAGGGGTGCATTCACATCCTCGAACATAGTGTTCGGGGTGTGTCTGATTTGTTGCCTCTTTGCCGCCATGGCTATTTGCATTGCCAAGCAAAACAAACGCAAATCTGACATGACGAGCGCTGAAATATCTTTGGCGGCTCCGCCTGTTTTACAGGCATCAGCAAAATTTGCTGCGGGGCACTCAAGGGGCAGCCAGCACCAACGCATGCAACCGAGCATGGAGCCTCTGCCTGCACCAGTGCGAGCTACAAGGGGCAGATTTCACCCAGTTCCTTCTGGCGATTTCGTCTTGTCAGCTCCGCTCAGACATCCGGCGCCAAGAAGTTTGCAGCGCGCTGCTGATGCTGCGGTTTCCACTGAAAAGAGCTGGTTGGCTGACTACAAAGCAGATTTGTGTGATATTCTTCCTGCGCCAAGACATACAATATGCGACGGGTATGTGAAGACAAGTGAGCTTGGCAGCAAGCCTAAGATTCGTGGCAGCGCTGACACTTTTACTACCATGGCTTCAAAGCACGCGGCAAACAAGCGTAAGGCCAGACTCTTATGGGATCAAGTGTTGCTTTGTGTCAACCACATCAGCGACCATGGTGTTTTGCGTGCTTCGCACACGCAGAGAATTCTGAGCCGCTTCTCTGACAACACAATTGTGGCTTATTCTTGCAAGGCATTGAGTTTGTTTCAGCACCTGCAGGATTTGAAGATCGAGTTGAAAAGTTTCAGTGTGGTGCAGTTGGCTGATGCTTTGGAATCCTTGCTGGACAGTGAGGATATCATGCTTTCCCCAATTGGTGCATTGAAGGCGTTGCGCTGGGTTGAAAAAACGGCATCAATTTCATGCTGGCCAGACTTGTATGATTCCTTGTTGAGTAGTTTCTTGATCCCTCCTGATTTCAGGGAGCGTAGGGAAAGCCTCCCACTGCCTTTGTTTCTATTATGCCAATGGGAGCTGGACATCCTTTTTCGTCGGCGCCCAGATTCAGAGCTTGCCTTTCTGGGCGCTTGCCTCATGTGTGTGTATTCAAGTCTGCGTTTCAGTGATGCTCAGCATGTACGATGGGATTCTGTTTGCCTCGAGACTGATAACATCAGGGCCGTGTCCTACCAAACGAAGACAAGTCGTAAAGGCATGCCATTCGGATGCTTTTCTTTTGGGCTAATGGGTTGTCCTAAGTGCAATTGGATGGAAGTATGGCTTTCAATTCTGGAAGCTTATTGGAGATCGTCACGGTCTCATTTCGGAAATGACATAATCCCGGATTACTTTTTCTTCGAGCTCTCGGAAGGTGCCATTTCTGAACCCATGACTTATGGCCGAGCGCTCAGCTGGTTCCGGTATTTCATTGCGGACACTGGCGGAGGAGCAATTCACCCTGCAGTCCGCAAGCAGTACACGTTGCATAGTATGAAGAGCACCATTTTGAGCTGGAGCCATCAGCTAAATCTGCCCCCCGAGGGCAGGTTAGTCCAGGGACACCATAAGTCCCCTCAACTGGCTAGCTGCAGATTGTATTCGAGAGATGATGTGCACGGCAGCTTGATGCTACAACGTTTTATTTGCAGTTCGGTCCAAAAGGGGTGGCGACCGGCCACTCCTTTACACCGAGGAGGGCAAGCTCCACTGTCGGACCCAGCAGTTGATTTGCAGCTCCCCAGTTTGTTGGCTGATTTCAATGGCTCTCTTGAATTGTTTCATCGTGTGCCGCCCAGCCACGTGGCGCCTGACATGCAGAATTTCGCACGCGATCTGGCAGATTTCCAATTACGGCCGGGTAGCGCGCACAGTGAAGAACCTTCTGTCTTCAACAGTGAGCAGCAGCACAGTGAAGAAGCGTCTTGCTTCAACCGTGAGCAACAGGTTGAACCCACGCTTGGCACAACATGCGTTTGCCCGAACGAGGAGCCGCAGCCTATTGACTCTGCCATTGAAGACGTAAGTGACGAATGTCTTTTCCTGTGCTCGGCGCGAACCGTGCACATTGCAGTGCGAACCGAATCGAGTTGGTTTCGCTGTGCTGACGGTTTCTTTTGGAAATCGGCGTGCCACTGCAATTTTACTGCAGATAAGACTGTTCTGACTCAGGAATTCCCTGACAACAAAGCAATCTGCAAAAGGACTGCGTGTCTCAATGCGTTTCACAAGAATGGGTTGAAAACATAACCCTTTGGTGATTTGTTTTTCCATGTAGCTTGGAAAAAGACGCTGCAGGGACTTAGCGAGGTCCAGTTGCGGCATTCGTGGCTTGTGACATGCGTGTCTCGAGGTGAGGCAAGAATTGCCCTGCCGACAATGACGACTTGGCTTGCGTATCATGGGGCCTGTTTTTTTTTTTGATTGCCGAGTGTGACATTGCTCGTTTGTTGCTTTGGTGCCTCTGTTAGGGATTCTACGTGGCATGCGTGTTCCTGTGCTGTAGGCGGCAATCTCTGTTCCATGCGCCCGAAGGTGCCCTTCCTGTAGCCTTTTTGTGGGTTCTGTTTTGCCCTTAATACTGGGATCCCGCCTTGCAAATCACATGTCGTTTGCTTTGTGTCATGCGTGTTGTTTCTATGCATTTTGCTGATGCGTGGCAAGCGCAGGCCTGTGCTTGTGCAGATATGTCTGCGTGTCATGTCGCAGAGTATTTCTGCTTGCTGCGGCAGTGACCGGCGAAAGGCTCGCGTGCCTCTTTGTTTTTTTTTTAAAATTTGTTTCCTGTATTTTTTTGGCTCACTAGCCTGCTGCGCGGTTGCATGCTTGCAACATGCGCTGGGCAAGCGTGCCTGGCGCGAAAGACATGCGTGTCTTGAACAACTTTGCTCAACCAGAAAACTTGCTCTTCAAGCAGGTGCATTTATAGATCTACATTTTCTTTCTTTCCTTTTTTGTTGGTAACATACCATCCGCTGGCACATTGCAACGCGTTGCGGCAGCAATGGAACATGGAGACTCGTCCGAAGCCGACCCCACTTTTGTTTCACTCATGAATGAGTGCCAGATTGCAGATGTCTTCCAAGATGACCTTTTGCAAGCAGGTTGGACGCGTGAAACATTTCAGTTCTGTGTCACTCGACTGGAGGATCTTGATGATTTTCTCACGGAAACATTTGCGGAGCCCATTGCTGGTTTGCCGCTGGCTCGTTTTCGCCTGCTGTGGAACAAGTGCCAGCAGGTTCCAACCGCTCCTGCGCCATCTGAGGAGCAGGATACACCTGTGGCGGCTGAAGGCTCGCAGGGTTGGTCAGAGACTTTTGCACCGAGAATGGCTACGAGCAAGATCAGAGAATTGAAGCAAGCCTTTGAAAAGGCTTATCCTAGCGAATTGCTCACTGCGGACAACTGTCCTAGCACAAGGCTGCTCAGCTTGGTGTTTAAGCAAGTTTCTGCAAAGGAGTGGCGATGGATCCCCTGGAAATGGCGGCTGTCTATTACCAAACATGACGAAGTGGTGCACTCCAGAACTCCCAAGCTCGCCAAGGTGGAGCACTTGCAGTTGCATGATCTCATGTGCGATGAGCCTCCTGCGCTTGACATTGCAAACATGGGAATGCATGCGGTCAACACTTCCATGCATGTTCACAACTTGGCTATCGCGATTTGCCGCGGCGCACATCTGGCAACACTGAATACTTACAAAAACCGCTTCATGCAGTTGCTCAGTGCCAGGTTCGAGCAATCATCAGGTCTGCGCGCCCCTAGCCTGCAAGAAGCCCAACAGGCGGATCAACGCCTTTGGCAACAGGTCGGCGAGTTGGTCACTGACAAGGGATGGAAGCTGGACGATGCAATTTACGAATTTGCTGTACTCAGGCCCGATATGCAAGCGCTGCTGCAGCCTCGTTGCAAACCGGTGATTCTGGCTCACCCTGGGAATTCCTTTGCAACTTCGTCGAGTCGGAAAGGTGGCAAGGCTCAGGGCAAGGGAAAGAAAAGCGCCAAAGGGCCTGCGGGGCCCAAACGCCCTGGGCTGAACAGTCAGCAGTGGATTGCGGAAGTGGTCAAAGATGGCCGGCGTCACACCTTGTGAATGCAATGGAACGCAGGACGCTGCTCCATGGCGCAATGCAACTTTCTACATGCTTGCGCTTACCCCAAGGCAGACGGCGTAGCTTGCGCGGGCTCGCATGCGGCTCGAGACCATGCTAGCGCCTCGCACTGACAGGATATCGTCCCGGACGGGGCAGGCCGGGAAAGTAGCTTTCATGATATTCTGCCCCAGGATCCTGGAAATGTTGCACCTGTGTGCAACATGACCGATCCAACACAGCACGCCGCTGAATGCGAGCCCGGTTTTTCGTGCAGTCAGTCTGTCCAGAAAGCCACTTTGTTCAGTCAAGCTCCTCAGCGCCAACAAGATGTTTCACCAGCATGCAGTATACCCAAACCAACTCGGCAAGCGCAAGACCGCGAGCCTGGAGTTCCTGGCAGCCAAGCTGCCCAGGAGCCATTTTTGCAGAATCAAGTTCATCCACGATTTTTTCTGGATCTCTGTTCAGGAAGCTCCGTGCCATTGTCCAGAGCAATGATGGAGGCGGGAAAATGCGTTCTTCATTGTGACATTCCATTGGATGCAGCAACCAATGCGGTCAACGATGCCGTATTCAGCTCCTTGGAGCGGCTCTGTTCTGCTGGAGTAGTAGGATACCTGGCGGTAAAGACAAATGGCAGGGAGCGCAGCCTGCTACAATTGCCTGCGCTGAAGCAAATGGTGCACCTTTTGTATTTGGCAGGCGGAGCAGGAGGTCAGGGGCACTTGGAGCAACCTGCCAATGCTGTTTCTTGGGAGGAAGATGTTGTGCAGACGTGGCTCCGTCGCGCAGGCGCCACATGCATCAGCGTCCCGGCTTGCAGCGTTGGGCTGGACGGTAACCACAGCTGGTTGTTTGCGGGCACGCATGCAAGCTTCGACGCACTGGCCTTTTCAAGTGACCATTCTCCCGAACCTCATCCAGAAACGTCTACAATCAGACTGGCGGACAGCTCAACTCCCAGTGAGAGGACAGCAGAGTACCCGCTGGAGCTTGCCAGGCGTTTTGCGGCGATTGTGGCGCCGATGTGTTCTGGACCTGCAAAACAGCTGACATTGCAGGAAGCTCTCTCCTGGATTCCAATCAAGCGCATTCATGAGCCACCATGGGCTCTTCACGATGGTGCAGGTGGGAATCCAGATTGGAGTGCTCCGCAGAATGACAACTACCTACAGGCCTTACGCCACACATGGGTGAAGCTGGTGTTAGATGGTGGCCTCCACAAGAAGTTGATGGCACATTTGCAGCAACATTCAGCAGGACCTCCTTTTTCTGAAGCAGATTTGGCACCTTTCAAAACAGCTTTGATCAATTTTTTGTCATTGCAGGATACTGATTGGGCCATACCCCAGTGGCAACCCTTCCGGCTTCATATTTTGGATCGTTTGTGCTCCTTGCTTCGGCACCCTGACAAGGCCGTTATGCCCGCCCTATTTGAAGGAGTTCCCTCCGGCTTCCATCACAACATTCCTCACAGTACAATTTTCCCAGCCCGTGACACCACCATTGTTGCCGATACCAATCTTTCAGTGCACTTTTCCAATTGGAGCAATGCGGAAGCCAATGCTGACTTGGTGAGCGATCTCATTCAGCAGGAGATGGCAGAAGGATGGGTCTACCGCTTTGACGGTGACTTAACACAAGCTCAGCAATGTTTCCCCGCAGGGGTTGCCATTGGTAAGCTTAATGTGGTTACGGCCCCAGGCCGCAAACCAAGATTGATTTTGGACAGCACCATTTGTGGAACCAACCAGCGGTGCCTTATCCCAGATCGATGCACAGTCCCTTCACCCAAAGACGTGCTAAGAGTGTTCCCACTGCGTGAAAATGCTGAAGAACTTTGGGGTTTCTCGCTCGATATACAAGCCGCCCACAAAAGAATTAGGTTGCTACCGGCAGAACAGGGACTGTTCGGTTTTCGTCATCAAGGACATTTGTATTTCTATCGGGTCACTCCGTTCGGAGCGACGCCGTCTGCACATTGGTGGGCGCGCGCAGGTGCTCTGCTGCTTCGCATTTTCCAAGACCTGGTTTTTTGGAAGCATGCCAGTTTGCTCTACGTGGACGATTTCTTATTCATGATGTGCAAGCGCGTTTTGCCGCTGTCAGCAACCATGATTGTGATATTGGCGCTTCTTTTGGGTTGTCCGATCAGTTGGCCAAAATGTGAGCTGGGACCGCAAGTTATTTGGGTCGGGTGGTCTTTTCATTTTAGCTCAGGCTACGTAGCGCTGACTGAGGAAAAACGATTGAAGCTACTTGTGCAGATCACGTCTTTGCTGACGCATCGGCATGTTTCTCGCAAGGCTCTAGAGCAGTTTATCGGCCTCTTTTTGTGGGTTACCAACTTGTTCCCTCTGATGCGTCCGTGGGTCTACTTTCTGTACAAGGATTTGCATAGCCCAATTGCAACCCAATACAGTTTGAACCCTGATCAATGGTTGCGCTTTTGCTCCATCCTCAACGACGACCTGACCATATCTGAAACTTTGCCCGGCACGAGCTTCCGAGTTGGGTCGCGTGTCTTAAGCGTAAGACACAAGCAGTTGAGGCGCAAGGCTGATTTGAGAGACGTGCGCATCACTGATAAGAGAATTTGGGTGAGGGTTTCAGACCCTACTAGTAGCAGGCGTAAACTGCATGAAGACTCTATTCACGCATTGCAGATGTGGAGAACATGGGCGTCCAGCATGCCACCAGTCCTTTCCTTGTATCCACCACGTTGGTGGAGCATCACGGCAGCAGCAGATGCTTGTGCAAAAGGCAATGATATTGGAGTCGGAGGATTCCTTCAAGACGCCAATGGCAAAGTTCTGTGGTTTTCGGAACTTTTCCACCCTGAAGATTTCACAGTTCTGGGAATCAGTATGAGCTCGGATGCCCAAAAGGACATTTCTTCTTATGAAACCTTTGCGCAAATGGGACTCTTGCACGTGGCAGCAAGCAAGGCGCCCAATTGCAGATTGTGCTGTGTACTTCCCACTGTTACAGACAACACATCAGTCGAGGCTGGCGTGAACAAATTTTTCAGCTCGAAGTATCCTTTGTGCCGATTTCTGCAACAGCTTTGCTTGATGGCAACGCGCAGTGCTATCAGACTGGACACGACGCACATTCCTGGGGAACACAATATTGAGGCAGACGCGCTGAGTCGTTTACATGAAAACTTTCCAAAGCCAGAGCGCATGCAAGATCCCAACAGAGTCCGTTTCACCTTGCAAGACCTTTGGCAGGTTTGCCCAACTTGCGAAGTGTTGCCCAAAGGCACACGGTTGGGTTGGGATTTGCCATCCTCACAACTTCAGGGGGGTATGTAGGAGCGAGGATGTTTTGCCGGGGCCTTTGGGGGGGGCTGATGGTTTGCTTGCCTGGTCTGTTTATGATGTGACACAAGGCCTCGCATTCCCGGCAAAACATCTGAGTGCGGTCGTGAGAGCTTCCTGCCCCCGATAAGTCTCTGGGCACAAAACGCTGCATGTACTTGTTCATGTGTGTTTTTACCCATGATGATCTTTTCGTGCGACATTCTGGTGCTCGATGCTTAGCGGGGTGCAGGGGTGCATTCACATCCTCGAACATAGTGTTCGGGGTGTGTCTGATTTGTTCCCTTCCCTCCCACCCATGTTTGCACTATTGAGGCACGATTTTCCATCGGTCAGTAATTCATGCCTTGCTCGCTCACAGCTGAGCTGTTATCGCTCCGTTGGGGGGCTGAGGGGGGGGCTGATGGTTTGCTTGCCTGGTCTGTTTATGATGTGACACAAGGCAACGCATTCCCGGCAAAACATCTGAGTGCGGTCGTGAGAGCTTCCTGCCCCCGATAAGTCTCTGGGCACAAAACTGCAGCATTCGTCTCAACTGATGGTTGCAATTGCGATGTTGACGTGTGAGGCACTGCAATCTTGTTTCTGGAGATGTTTCTGCGAGAGGATGAAGAGGCAGTGGATTTCGCGGTACCTTCGCATTCCCCGCCACCGTGTTGCGTTTTTTTCGTTATATACGTTGTTTGGCCAGCATGTTTTGGTCGCTCAACTTGCTTTTTCTCCTGCTCATGATTGCTATGCCTCTCCCTCGCTATGCTTTGATTGTCCTGCTGCGCAGGCAAGGATTCTCAAGACAGGCTCCGAAGCATGGAAAGACAGCTCTGTAGAGGACACCGGCCAATGATACCTCGGCCATTTGTTCGATTACTGGTGTTGCTCCTGCAGACCCGCAGTTCAGATGCGCGAAGGCTTTGAATAGCGGACAAAAAGAACGGTTTCTAGTGGAGTCACAGCATGGTAATCCCAGGAGGCGATTGGATGGTATCATGATGTTGCGCCGCTCCTTCACCGACTTAGCCTTAGCTACTTAAATCAGACACAAGAGGCTGCAGAGCTTTGCTCGAGCAGCAACCGAGGACACGTGTGTCGCCACTATGGTCTGGCGCAAATCGACCTGGCGCTACAGCGTAAGTTTTTGCGGCAAGACGCAGTCCCTTTTTGCGACTTTTGGGGCCTGTGCACTTGGGGTCGAAGGCTTGGGACTCGATAGGTGCCCGCCTTTCGCTCCATGTCCGCAGAGATGCGCAGCGCCTGGTTCCGCGATGATTGCTGGGGCTTCAGGGCTGCGGAGTGCTGAGAGGCCTTTGAGGGGAGTCAGGTCGAAGCATGCATTTTTAGAATCACATGGTACGTGTAAAGCCCGGCGAAACGGCTGGAAGAGCTGGTTTCCAATTCTCCGGGAAGTCGCCGCCACGCCGGTGGCGAGTTGAGGTCACCACTCCGACGCTGGTGGCGAAGCGGTGGGCAATTTGTTGGCCAAGCTGGTCTTGTGGTCGGTGCGTCAGCGCGGCACTGAATAAAGTGACTGAGCCTTTGGGGTTGCGGCTTGCCGCCAACCGAAAGAACTGCTGACCTGCACTTAGCCTTGTGCTGAGGCCGGAGTTGACCGGCAGCTTGCCCAAAAATGCGCATGCCCCAGATGGTAAAGTCGAAGCTTTGGCTGTTCATGTGTGGTGAGCTGAAGGAGTGCCTTGTGCTTCAAGCTGCTGTCCATGAAATGAAACAACAGGGCTCAACATTGGGGGTGGCCGGGGGCATAGTACGAGCAGATCATTTGTTGTGCAGGCCCTCCCAGCGCCCCTGGATGCATCGTGCCCAGATTCTGGATGCAGCTTGAGCACAAATTCGACGAGTACGCCTGAGCGCGCCGCAACCTCACATCACGGACGAGGGTGAATGCAAGGCACAATGCTGGTGCAACGGCAAGACCATCAGAGCCTTTACCTCAAGTGGGTGGAGGTCGTCGAGTTCTTGACATCGCTCTGCAGTCATGGCCGCCCGGTGAGTCAGAGAGCGTGGCTTTTTCAAGGTGCTGCCCGGGTGGCTGAGCCCTGAGGGGACGCCACGAAAAGACAAGGCCGGGTCAACGGACTGCTTCTCCTTCCCTTCGGCCGGCCAGGACTTGCTCCGGCTGGGCCAGCAGACGGACCGGCTCGTAAGCAGAGTTGCCGAAGCTGACCCTTTGATCTGGGCGGCAAACAGCTTGAAACAGGGCTGGGATGGATGCGGGGGCTTCGAGGGCAAGAGAACATGAAGGGTCCTGCAGCTTCGATTTGGACAGGACTGGCTCTTGCTCCGGGCTGGTGGAAGGGTGGTCAGCTCAGCGCTGCGTGTGCTGAAGAGGCCGTTGCACGACTGCACGACACTCTTTCCTGTTGAGCAGGTACCAGTGTTTACAGACTCTGCAGAAATACATCCTGGCAGCTCTTCTTGTTTCAGCTCAAACCCTCCCGGAACATTGATTCAGACTGGCCATCGATCGATTCGGGAGCCCCGAACCCCGTCGATTCGGGAGCCCCGAACGCCCCGAACCGGTCGATTCGGGAGCCCCGAGAGCCCCCCCCCTCCTTCATGCCCGGTTGCTCTGTGCTTCAGCCTTCTACTGTAAGTGCCAGAGCTGGGAGGGCAAGCGTACGCTAAAGCCGCAGTCATGGCGGCATGCTACTGCTGACGTGACCTGCACATATGAGGCTGTCTGTCTGTTATTGAGGCTACCCTTTTTGGGATGGCTTTAAAGGGGAACCGAAAAGGACAACCACATCTTGTAGGCCCCCCAAACAAGACGCACCCATATCATATCATGAAAATGCATAGGTGAAAGTACTTGTTTGTATATGTGTGTATGTGGGTGTTTGTGCTTATGCTTTGACGTCGCGAGAGCAGTAGAGGAGCTGGGTTCGAGCGTCCATTGATATGTCATTTGCTTGCTCTTCCCCTTGTATCGCACCTGTTTGTGAAATGCCACTAAGGTGCTTGGAGTTGTACTTTTTGAGGGTTGTCATTACTTCTGGAGACCATGACCATGGGTGTGGCCAGCATTTTCCAAGTCCGCCTTGAAACTTGACCACAGCATGTACGCACATGCGTACTCATCGTTCATGTTTGATGTTTCCCTGTAGCGTATGTGGCGCTTCCTGAGGTGACCATTCCTTTCAAGGGCCGCGCCTGTGGCATCCTCACCCTCTTGGGTTCTTTGGCTGCAAGCTGCAAGCGGTGTGAGTCATGGGGCTGAATTGGCGTGTTGATCGACCCGGCCGAGGCCCAGATGCACCAAGCCTGCCTGCGGCTCAGCTGCTTGATGCCACTTCGCCTTCTGTCCGCCTTTTTAGCGCGACCTTTCTCTGGCCTGACCTTCATGTTGCA